ATTCTCTCTCACCCTCTCACTTTGCTGTGGCACAATAGAGGTTTGAGCCAAATGGATTAATAGGAAGAGAAAGAGACCATAAAGCAGATAGGCTTATACTGTTAGGATGAAACACATGCGCACACACACTGTCAGCGTTCCAATGGTGAGCCTAGGGACAGACTGAACTTTCAGCACCATGGACAGTGTCACTGTGCCCAAATGTGGATGCACCGACTCTCTGCCTCTTTGTTTTTTGGTTGTGTCTAAACAAAGCCTAATGTTTGATGGTGTTCTTGTCATGGCACTGTAATATTGCAGCGTGTGCTGCAGTACACTCTCGGGTGACTCACTCTCGCTGTAACTGGACTAAGTAAGTCCACCTCCCAGTATTATCTGCAGCACTGTGGCGCATCTTAAAGTGATGGAGTCGCCATTAAAATGAGTGATGATCCAGGTCTGTTCCCACAGCAGAAAGCCAAGACTTTTAGGCATTAATGGATGGGCCTTTTACTAGCACATTGCTCCCCCCTTGCAACTTTGTATGTGTGTGTGTGTGTGTCTGTGCTGTTAACTATCTGTTATTGAGCAAATAAGGTGTTTTAACAGACTGCAGTTGTTCCAGTGAATGGGTAACCGTGAAAGAGAGGAAGATGTGTATGCTTTGCTGGTAGTTTGGGGGGTTTTCATTAATTCATTCACTTATTTATTCATTCACATGACTCACTATGCCATTGTCACATGGCAAAAATATTTATTTCTCGATTGAGTCCTGTGTCCGGTTTGTTGCAGCATTTGATATACCATTGCCTGAGTATATTTTCTCTTTTTCTGCTTCTTTTTACAGAAAGTGTCCCAGTATACTATCATTGTCCAGGCCACCGACATGGAGGGAAACTTGAACTTTGGCTTGTCTAACACAGCCACAGCCCTTATCAGCATAACTGACATCAACGACAATCCTCCAGAACTGACAGTTAGAACGGTGAGTCCTAAACTTTACCATAGAATGTATTGATCTGTGTATGGGACTGTATTAAAATTACTAAAATGAGGGAGGGTGGGGTTCATTCCTGGTTTACTCATTTTGTTTGGTCATAACTACTTATTTAACAAATCTTTATTGAAAATTAGATGTGTATTTCCACTATTTTGTTGTTTGCTGTATATAATATATTATTTTAAGACCTTTGAGGGATGATGATGTAGTTTTCTAAGTCAAGGTGCTAGAATGAAAAATAGGATTCAGCCACCAATTCCCACCCCAATAATTTTTATCGCTATATAAGAATGTATGTGTATATGTGTAAACAGGCAGTTTCAACTCCGGGCTTGATCTTGCATCTGTGACGTTAACAGTTGCTTATTTAGTCGCTGTGCAACCCCACTGTCCCATAGAACCATTATTACCAAGTATGTGTACGCACAAGGAACTTGCCTCTGTTTTTTTTCACTGCTCTAGATGTACCTACACAGAAATAGACATAACAGCTAAGAACAAGGACAACAAAGCTGACCAAATAAAGATAAAAGAACAGGCAGGACTATTATGTAGACAAGTACGCCACAAAATAGGTGTATATAAATAAAAAGCACAGCACAAAATAAAATTACTAATAAAATGTACAAGTGTTCAAGTGTTGTTGTAAGTTTTAAGCAATGTAAGTAGTGCAAAGCGATAAATATTGAAAGAATATACATGGAGTGGATGGATGATTATGTATTATGCTGGATATTGCAGATGAGGGTACATTTTTCTTAGGTAGAACAGGTGTAATGGAAATTTCCCTTTAGTAAGTCTTCTGAAATAAAGAGTTCAATCCAGAAATCTTTTAAGGTTTTTATTCGTTGCAAAGGGTCAGACAGACATACAGAGTGCAAACAGTCTGCAGAATGTCAGGCCAAGAGCCAGTGAAGAAACAGGTGAGTTAGTACTGTAAGGGTCTTACGCAGCTGTCATAGGGAGGAAGGTAGTAGGGACCAACTGCCCTGAGATGAAGGCCTATCAAGGACAGTCCAATGAGGAAACCTTCTAATGAGCTACTTTCCCATGGGAACTTTCACCTAGCTGCAACATAATAAAATTATCAAACACTATACAGTGAAACATAGGCCTACAATAATGCAGCATAAAATGTAAAACAGTTAACACAGTAAAATATAAATTTCCATCACAACAGGTTATGCAGTCCTTGAAGTGAAATACTGCTCTCAGATATTATTAGAAAATGCATTATCTGGTCCCTGTCAAAGACAACAATCATGCAATAGTAGCTCAACTGAAATATGTTTTCAGAGAACATTGAGATGAGGGGAATGCAGTGTACAAAGATGTAAGATAAGGACAGATAAATAAAGAATATAAAATAACACTGTGAAAGAACAACATATGGAGAGACAGAAAAAGGTACTGTGACTGAAAGTGAGATCGAGATCTGCTTTGGTGTTTGGAGGCGTTCTCCTCCCTCCCTTCCTATCTGTGTTTTCCCTGCCAGCTGGGCCTCTGGTGGCCAACGTTTGTCTGCAGGCATCTGGCCCTGGGCCCTGATACCTCCACATTGGTCTGACAGGAAGCCACGCTACAGCTGGCCCACTTAACTATGGCACTATGTGTGGTTAGGTATGGGGTTGTTTGTTTGTGAGAGTGAGGGTTGCAATATGAAAGGCTATTGATGAGGAAACAGCAACTGAAAGCAGACGCTCTTTCATGCTGGGTGTGAATGCTGTGTATTTTATGCATGCATGCCTTAAAGTTTCTGAATCTTTCCCGATATATAGCTTGTATCTATTCTCAGTCTGGTCTTAGAACAGAATCAAATGCTGACCGCAAACCTGACAGACCTACAGGATTGTAGCTGCTCTTTATGTGAGCGCTTGGATTTCTGAGATTCCAGAGAGAGACAGATGTTGTCTGCAACCGAGCTCAGAGGCAGAGCGCACAGTGTGTCAGCGTCACACACTGTGATCCCTGTCTCCTCGGCGGGGCCGTCGGCAGCGTGCATGCCAGTACAGTTCCAGCCGCATGCTCAGATAAGAGCTCCCCAGCTGTCAGGGGTAGAGCTCACCGAACAAGGCTGCCGCTCCGCTCAGAACCGCTCTGTCCCCGTCTGTGGTGCTGGCTCCATCACCGCTCTTCACTGGGGAGGAGCTGTGGAGCACAGTCCTCCCGCTGGCCAGAAAATGGTAATGCTGTGCTTCAATAGACACACAAAAGCACATGTGCATTGTCCTTGACATGCATTTACATGTTCACACATACTGTGATAAATGTTGTCACTACTTTTCTCTGCAACACTCCTTACTAAATGACTGTAGATTTGCCTGAGCTTGTCCGTTAAAGAGCAGTTGACCATATTTTGGTGTGTGACTCAAAGGTGGTAATGAGGAAAAATGAATGAAAATGTGGCTTTGTTGTACGCCCGGCACTTAGACGCAGACAGCCACACACTCTCACATGAAACATCCACCGCAATAGAATTGTTCTCCACCAGATGCCATTTCCACTGCTTTGTCAATCTCTACTTTTGTTTTGCTTCCCACACAAGCAACTAGACTTGGAGTAGTTCAGTAATTATTTGTGCATGACAGACGTGAGAAGAATTCATTGCTCTCTAGGGGAGGCATAGAGAAAACATAGGAACCCTAATTAAGTGAAATTGCTTGCGGGGGCGTAAACCAACTGATATATAGCATCTAATTTGAAAATAAAAAAAAGCCAAATGTTTTCTTTATATCACCACATGGGCCTGAACGCGCTGTGTTAGTGCTATGTATGTCATTATGTGATAACATAATGACAGTGATACTTGCCACAATCTTTCTAATCAAGTGTATCACACCCGTGCTGAAGTGTACCCAGTGGTGAGGAGCGGGAGAGATGTTGGGAGACTTGTGGGCTTGAAAGCTTGAACTCGTACAGGCTTACAGATCTGAATGAGTGGTGAGTGCTATTTGTGATTCACCTGTAGAGCTGCAGCTTCTAAATACCTGAAAGAACTGGTGTGCCAGAAATTATCGCTATTCACCACTTTCCTTTGCTTTCCACTCCTTGACATTGATTTGTGTTCCAAAAGACTGCTAGAAAAAACAGCCTGATGTGTCTGGATATCATGAAAAATGAGAGTGAGGGTAGACACCTGTTGCCAGTGGCTATATCTTTATTACACCATAGTGAAAACATAGGAGCCGTCTTTAGTGGACTTATGTCAGTCTGATATTTGTAGGAGTCTGTTGTGGCACATTTATTCCTACCTAATGCTGTCATTACCATTTAGCGCTCTGTTCAACACCCCATGAAGAAAAGGAATAGCTTATTTAGTCTTGTTGAGCTGCAGCTCTGCTGTCTACAATGGAACATTCATTTTCATTTCCAGAGTCAGTTTTCATCCAGAAGGTAGTAGATTTCTCCTGCAGGGCAGTGTACCTTGATGCAGATTTATTTCCTAAAATGATTTGGTGCCTGTACAGCACTGAAGCCCCACTAATTTCTCCTGGCTGGACTGCAGCTCAAACGTTTAACGCTAGTCGTTTCAATAGACATTTAAAACATGAAAAGCTGGGGTTTGTTTGGTGCTCATCTTCATACATTGATATGTTGGAGGTTTATAAAATAATTCATAAAAGACCTTGACATAAAGTGTGACATTAACAGATGTGTATGCTTTGAATGGTGAAGTTTATAAAAGCAATTTTCTACCAAGGGTCAACAACTCTTAGTCTAAAGTCTACTCAAGAGCTTTTAAGGAGAATATGTAACTTTTGAAAGAAGAAATAAATAATTAAAAGAAATAATTAAAAGGCCACAACAACCACAGAAACATTCATGATGTCATTATTGTCGCAATTAATAATCTCCTGCTGAGTGATTAACTTTATAAACAGTGCTTGTATAGGCCTGGTTTAGGACTGCATATTAGCTTGAACTAGCAACAGACTGAAATACTAAACCGTAGTCAGTCAGAAGCAGTGGTGCACGTCACTGTACATTTTGAAGTGCATTTAAACAGTGATGAAATTATTTGAATCAGTACAGTGATGTAGGATTTCCCCCTCTATATGTTTTAGCATTCACCAAGTATAATTTGTGGCCACAGCGGCCGCTGTTGCTCAGTCTCTCTTTAGAGCCAAAATAGTCAGACCTTGGTGACAGAAATGTTTTGTTAAAGAATTCATATTAGCTGTTCATTTTCAACATAAAAACTTTGTTCAAGGGGGTTTTTGTGTTGATCCTGTACATCCTCTTTGCAGGACTTTAGAAAATGTGCCTTCACCAAATGTTGCTGAACAAGCTCACACTGTTTTCTAAGATTTTCTTCTAATGAAGTTCTCCTTGTTGAATGTTTAAATAGGCAAAGCACATAGAATTTGGATATAAAGCCAGAATCTGTAACACTGACAAAATATTTTGTGACTTAACAACTCAAATTATAGTTTAATGATTCTTTTTATTTTTCTCATTTAAATTTTACATTCACTGGCAAAGTAGACTGAGGTCCCGCTGGACAATTACCTACAAATGAATCTTATTTGCCTTGCTCCTTTTTTCCCTCCTTCTTTGTAATTACAAAATCCTTCAGAAACTTGAAGTCTGTCTCTCTAGTGGCTTATCAATGGGTCCACATTGCATTTTAGAGAGAGTGGCCATTTTGGAAGCACCACATACACACAGTCAGCACTATTGTGCATGCCTCTGAGAGAGCATATTTCATTTGGCCGTCTGACAGCGTGGCCCAACAAGCTTGGAAGGTTTGTGGTGGTGTTTGTGCTAAAGCTCGGGGTGAAAATGAAATGGAGTCCGCACACCAGAGACTGAGAGTGCATATTTAATTTGTTCTGTGCTTATCAGCCTGGTTGTACTGCAGGGGATAGGAGAAGAGGAGGCAAGGAGGGAGGGAGGGAAAGAAGAGGAGGAGAGGAATCGGTTAGTTTGGACGCTACTTCAATCCCACGATGATGAAGCCATTAAAGTGAACAGCAGCTGGCAGACACACACCATAAACAAGTTAACGCTTCACAAGAGGAAACAAGGATTATCGTATGACAATGAGAGCTTTTAGTGTGGATGTGTGCATGTGTGTGTGTGTGTGTGTGTGTGTGTGTGTGTGTCTACCTTTAAGTGTCCACCCCTCTGTAGCCAGATAAATCCCTATAGAGGAGGACATGTATCCCATTGCGTTGTAAATTCTTCTTCGGGCTCTGCAGCTGTCACCAAGTTTCCTCCAGAGTAAGTTCAGAGGGGAGTTGTTTCAGATTGCAATATAATGAAGATCATTAACCAAAGATTATTCCTACCGCTGCCTTAATTACAGCACTTATCTAATTGCTTATTAAGACCTAGATTTGGTGAATGCACAGAATCTAAATTAAATGGGTAAACACTTAATTGAACAAATCCATTAGTTCAAATAAAGAGTTTCAAATGAGTAGACATGGCATGGAAGAAGGTACAGCATTAACATAATGGAAGATATGATTCTCCATTATCCACATTTAACCAAATATGTCTCCGTCTGTATTTTTTCTTCCTCTCCTATCTTTCAAATTTCACCTCCATTTATTTTACTACCACTTTTAATTCATGTTTAAGTGTAATGAGCATTATTGGCATGACCCTCAACGCAGTTTGTTTTCATAATAACAATTATGTAAAATGCTAAAAGATCGATGATGATGATTAAATCTCAATAAATCAACTTATTAACATTCATTAGCTGACTGCTGGAACAGCATCAGCATAATGTTATCTCTGTCCCCTCGCTTTCATCTCCCCTCCCTCCTCTCTCCTTCACTTTCTCGCTCCCTTCTCTCTGCAGTTTTCAGGGGAGGTGCCAGAGAACAAGGTGAATGTGGTGGTGACCAACCTGACAGTGGTGGACAGGGATCAGCCCCACAGTCCCAACTGGAACGCCGTCTACCGCATCATCAGCGGAGACCCCTCTGGACACTTCACCATCCGCACCAACCCCATCACCAATGAGGGCATGCTGACAGTGGTCAAGGTAAATATTAAGCTGTTCATTCGGCTTCTCTACACACATCCTGGAGTCTGATATTTACCTCTTTCAAAATTAAATTGGACAGTTGTTCTCCATTATTATTCAACCCTGTATCTTGTTTGTTACCACCTGCTCTGAAGTGCCAGCTGTTGATGACTGAGTACTTTGGTCTCACATTGTTTTCACAGAATTATATGTCATCTCTCAAATTGGAACACAGTTAGAACCAATCATGCAATCAGCTACACTCATTTTTCTCCCATCTCTCATCGTTCTGGATGTCTCTCCCCTCTCTCCCACCTCATCGGGTTCTTCTGTAGCCCGTGGATTTTGAGATGAATCGTGCCTTCATGCTGACCGTGGTGGTGTCCAACCAGGCCCACCTGGCCAGCGGCATCCAGTCCTCGCTTCAGTCCACAGCAGGTGTAACCATTTCGGTTCAGGATGTGAACGAACCTCCCATCTTCCCTGTCAACCCCAAGACGATCCGCTTTGAGGAGGGTGTGCCAGCAGGGACCACTCTTACCGTGTTCGCCGCTCAGGACCCCGACCACTTCATCCACCAGATTGTCAGGTACTTTAAAGGACACCAAAATATAGAGGGTCAACAGTAAACTGACACAACAGAAGTACACTTTGGTTGTCCTTGTCAGCATATTTTGACAGGACCACCTGAAAATCTTTTATTATTTTTGCAACTGGGGGAGCAAACAAGAGCTGTGATATGGTGAATATGGTGTTAGCAACAGATGCTTATTTACGCATCCAGCAGACACACAGCAACATTAGCATTCATTGCTGCTGTTTGGTAGCTTGCAGTGAGTTTATCGGGGGTTTTGGTCTAAAAACAGCCCCCTGCTTAATCTGGAAACGAGGATAATGAGAGTAGTGAGACTGAACCAACAATTAAGTTGCAATTGGTTAAACCAAAACAATGAGCTAAAAGAGCGGAGGGCAACAGCAGTTGGACGATTATTCTGTGTGGGTTTGTCATTTGGAGCAACCCCTTTCAGTTACAGTACATGTTATCATTTGATCCATGTTTAATATTCCATGCTTATATTTAGTTGTCTTACACAGTGTCAACACATTTGAACACATTTTTTCTTATTTAGTTTCCAGTTTACTTTATATATTAGAATTTCCTTCTATTATAAATGCATACAATATTCAAGAAAATTAATTACACAGACATACATCATAAAGACTATTTTACAAACACGATAATTTAATAAGAAAATAAGAGAAGTGTCAGTTGTTAGAAGATGCATGTAGCATTAAGAAAATGAAGGATGAATTGTACTGCTGTGTCTTTTTACTTCAAATTGTTTATTTTTTTCTGTATTTATTTTATTCATTTTTTTATTTATTTATTTTGACAAAGTTTTAGTTGCTGTTGGTAACGCCCAGCCATCTCTGCAATCACTGCTCATCCTACCCACTACATTCTGTTTATTTCTAACCAACATCTGCTGGGTAATTTCTTTAGATGAAAATGCAGGTTTATAGATATATTTTTGATTCAGGTTTCATATTACAGTAGCCAGAGGAAGGACTGAAGCTCCTCTGAAGACCAAAGACTACTCGACAGTCGGATATTGTGCAAAATTTACAATATTACAATATTTTGTCAACCCCATGTTTGTGTCTCTCACTATACACGTGAGTGTCACCAGTGCTTACTCGAAGTTTGTGGCTCTTCTGTGACATTCTCAACCGACCGACCTCCCACAGCCCGAGCTCCAGTTACCTCCCTGTTGCCAGGAGACTGGTGTGAAGAGGTCATCCTGTAATGAGTTGGAAACTGTGTGTCTGCCCTCCTTAGATCCTTATCTTCCTCTTCTCTTTCTCCTCATTGATCCCTCCCTCCATCCTTCCAAACTGGGACGGCACACAGCAGGCATTGTACCATCCAGGCATCGACCCTGTGTGATAGAAACTCCCACATGCCCACTAAGGTCCAGCGGCACCGTTCCACTCCATAGCCAGCTCCAATGAGAGAGATTGATTTTTCTTAATGTTAGTGTGACGGCCTCTTCCACTGATGAACCCGGTGGAAATGTTACTGAATTGATAGCGAGGGAGGTAGTGGGTGATGGACTCATATATATATATACTGTACAGAAGGGTGAGCAATATCCACATCTCAGGTTTCTTCTCCTAAAATGATGTGTCATGCAAACTAAGTGGGCTGAGCTCTTCTGCCCTCTCTTTTCGCTAATCCCTCCCTCCCTCTTGCTCCTGCTGACCCTGTCACTTTCTTCTCTGTCAATCTGTGGGTCTGTTATTGATGGGACCTCAGAGCTGCTGTCTTCTCCAAAGCAGCTTGCCAGCAGACGCTCAGCACATGCTCAGACAGCCACATCTCTGCTGCCGCTCCTGTTGTTGTATTCCCATTAGGTGACTTCGCTTGAACCATCGCTAAAGGACGCACAGAAGACACAGAAATGCACAACTGTGGACTCACAAACGCACGCGAGCCTGCACACGAGCATCCGCAGAGGATGAGTGAAAGGCCTGTGCATGAGCAATGGATGGGAGAGGAGCCAGCTTGTGTTTTTTTATGTTTTCAATTTTTTCTCTCTTTGGTGGAAAGGAAAGTAAAGATGATGTGAGGTCAGGCCTTTTTGCCAGCTGACTTTACTGTTAGATGTAATCTAAGCGGAAGCAAGAGCTAATTTATGTGTGCGTGTGTGATTCTGTTCATGTCAGTATTAGAATATTAGCCCTGCAGAGTGAGGACATTTTTGTGGTTTAAGGTCACGTTGGTTGGTCATCACTTCTAACCGTCTTAGTCCAGGGCTTTGGTTTTATGATTAAAGGTGTACTCCAGCAATTTGATAATGCATGTCTATGAATCAAAAAAAAGAACGGTTAAAATCGACGCAACATAGGCAGAGATATCCTCACATTTCCACAATGTCCGCGCAGCCTGAATAGCAGAAGTAGCACGTTAGCAGAGCAGAATACAAGCATATCTGTCCCTTCAGAAGTCTCAAGTACAATATGAGGCAAATTCCAAAAAAGCTATATTCTGCAGTGCCCACAATGCAATGTTCTTCATTACAGTATTATTACACCAAATAAGGAACTATTTCATCTTTTATGTTATGTCGGCTGTGCATGAACAAATATATATTCATTTAGACATGTACAGTGTTATAAACAACTGTACTGTAATAATGACGTTGCCTGTGTTTATGTCAATTATACTATAGAAAGGGCAAACTCCCTGTTAGACCTCTTGTGAAAAAACTCTAAATAGAGAAATCCAAATAGACTTATTTGGAATTTGGAAGAGGTAGTGCTGTCAACACCAATAACAGACAAAGAGGATATAAAATATATTGTATTTAAGCATGTTTTACAGCTGCTCCCTCTGAGAGTGAATTAATGCATCATTTTCTCTAGAGGACTCTGTTCAAAATTCTGTTTATAAGCAACTCTGATAAAATTATGAAAATAATAAGTATCAAAGCTGACAGAACAATAATGTAGAGCAGGCCCACTGAACTGGCAACCCACGGGCCAATCCTGACCCGCCAATTAAGTCAGACCAGCCTGCTGATCAAATAAATGAAATTAAATAAAAATTGTAAAAACAAGCGAAATACAGACATTTTCCCCATAATAAACCCTTCAAACCAGCAGAGAGATTTGTGAGAGTTTAAGAGAACTGCAGAATACTGAACGGATATGGTGCCTCTTTGTCTGCTGTGGTGTGTGGAGGCACGTTGTATCAAGTGTACATACGTAATGAGAATAATTGCAAGTTAATGTCTGGCCCTGGGCCGTAGCCTGAAAATGTGGCCTCCTGAACAATATTGTTGAATAGCCCTGCTGTAGGTTAAGGGTGTGGCAGTCCTCATATGCATAGTATGACAGTTTGCTCTGCCAGCTGAAAATGAAGAAAGCAGGAGGTGACATCTTGTTGGCACAGGATTGAAGTGCCAGGCATGACACGCAAACACCAGAATCAAAGATGCAGGGCAACATCAAATCCTGACTAATGCTGTTTGACAAGCTCTCTCACCAGAAATTATATTCATTTTAATTTTATTTTGTTCTCTCAAGAAGAAAGATTTGACGGAGGGTGTCTGTCTGTTTGCTAAGCGTGTGTAGAAGTCCAGAAGTGTGCGTCTTTAGCTGGAGGTGGAAAAAGTTTTCTCCATCTCTGGCTAACTAGTGTCAGCCTCCAACGCACTGCTGTAATTAAGCCTCCTTTCACCCTCATCATGTTTTCTACCAACCATGTTTACATTGAGAAGCATGTCTCTAACCCCGTCCTCCTGTCACTGCGGTGACACGCTGACCATCTACCTACCAGTGAGACTTCTCGCTTGTCTGTAATTAACCATCTCTCATTAGATGTGAGAGAGAAGCAATTTTTCCACTCGGCCTGTTGTTTAGACTCGTCATACTTGCTAATGGGATTTATGGACTTTAATTGCACCTGTCTCTTTCCACTGCGTTAATGTCACAACTGGTGACACAGATGACAGTTGCTGTATGGGCTGTGTGGGTACAAAGAGCAGCGAAGTTGTTAAGAGCACTGCTTGGTTGTTCTGCATACGAGTACAGGTTTTCATGGTAATGAGCTGCTGCTATGATAAGCTCGGTGAACATATGTTCCGCTCTCCATGTCTCTGTAATATTTCAAAGGTGCTTGGCTGGTATTGCTTATTATGGTAATGAACATTCAACCTGATAATGGGCACTTTAGATCAACAAATAAAGATTCAGAGCTGCTGGAATTCAAGTAATAGCTGGCTGCAAACGTTAATATGTGGACTATGTTTCTGTATATTTGCATATGTATTTAATAAGGTATCTTGCTTTCTCACTCTCTGTCTGTCTGTCTCTGTGGCTGTGTGTGTGTGTGTGTGTGTGTATGTACAGGTACTCCAAGCTGTCAGACCCAGCTAACTGGCTGAAGATCAACAGGACCAATGGTCAGATCACCACCACGGCCCTGCTGGACCGCGAGTCCATGTATGTCAAAAACAACATGTACGAGGCCACATTCCTGGCATTCGACAATGGTAAGTCTGGTAAGTCAGGATGACTGTGGGTGTCGTGATTATCCGATGAACAGTACGGCATATACAGGACAATAGAGGCCCTTTTTAGCCACATTAGCAGCGTGGCACTAGGATGGAATGGATGTTGGTCCACCACTTTGGTCCAGACTGAAATATCTTTACAACTTGGATAGATTACCAGGAAATTTGGTACAGACATTTATGGTCCCAAGAGGATGACTTTGGTGATCCCTGACCTTTGAACTATTCCACCTGGATTGACATTAGTGGTTTGACTGAAAGATCTCAAGAAATATTGTATGGATTGCCATGAAATTTGGTTCCCTTCAGGATGAATTATAATAACTTTGGCGATCCCTTAATCTTCCATCTAGCGCCATCATCAGCTCACAATTCTACCCAGTACTAGTTTATGACCAACGTCATGTATAACTAAAAAGCATCTCCATCAGCCTCACTGGTAAGTTGTGCTCAGTACTAACTAGCAAATATTAGCATTCTAACTTTTTCTAACATTTTTTTGTCGTTGTGAAAAACTTTCTTCAGCTATGTTTCAATCATCAATCATCAGAAGAATGAAAAGGAAGCTGTTATTGGTTTTCATCGTCATTCATCATCAGGAGGAAAGTACTGTAGCACAGGCGGGGGATGAACAGTTGTCATAACAGCCCAACTTAATCGAGTAACACATTTTTCTAGCATATTTCACACTAGTCAGGCACCGATCATCTAAAACTATGCTCACATTATGAAACATAATGTAGCTATTATATTATATATTGGATCTGTACCTTCAGACATGGTCTCGTTCTGTGAATTGCTTCTCTTGACATAACAGTGCAGGGTTACTGCAGAGAACATGTGACTGAAAACAGTCTGTAAGCTGTTTCATTCACTTCAGCACACCCCACCTCACCCACTGGCTGTGGCTCAGGAGGTTCCACTAATCAAACGGTCGGTGGTTATATCCCTGGCTCCTCCAGTCTACATGTCGAAGTGTCCTTGGACAAGATACTGAACCCTGTTTCTGATGAGCATGCCACTGCCATCAGTGTATGTATGTAGGTATACTGTATATAAATATGCACTGACCTTC